TGTTCAAATAGGTAGATATTTTATTACATAGCTACCTTACATTGCCTTGGCATGTATTTTCCCTGTTAAGTCCTCACAAGTCTTTTATACATATTTTCAAAAGCCCTGCCCTTAGGACTTTTTACTAGAAGTGGCTCTTCAAGATACACCTGACAAGTCTACTGTAAGGCATAATGCTTTTGAAGTTTCCTGCTCAAGGCTTAAATTTAAACTTGTTATCCTAATTCTCAGCACCTGTACATCTGCTAGCATGAGCAAAGTCCTGCTACGAGTAGAGCTGGAACCTTGTCTGGATACCAAGGTGCTTTCATGTAAGCAGGCATAGAGGTACAAACGAACATCAAGGGCTCAGCTAGGTAAGTAGTTTTTATTAACTACCTGGGAGAAACATTTGGTCTTAAATGTTCATTCTCTACTGCTCATTCTTATGTTCATTCACTGTTCATTCTTAGTCTAAAACCTAATTCTTCAGGCCTTCACACAACCAAAAAGTAGAAGGAGCACATTAAGGACCTTTCACTGGAAACACCATCAGCCACATTGCACAGCAACATGTTTACTGATAGTGAGATATTGAAGTAGAACGCAGAAGAGATCATAAGGCAGGGTAGAAGGATGATAAAGGACTCAAATCCACAATTGCACCTCTTACACCACCTGTCCTTCAATGATTCCCTACAATAGTTCTTGGCAGACTGGAAGGGGGAAGAGTAAGAAAGGGAGAGGATACCGAGTTTTAGGTCATGTTCATACCACTGCTAGATTTATGAGAACAGAGCCTAGTTGATTTGGTAAATGGAAAAAAGCTACGAATTACTCATCTTTTTGGAAATTAAAATACAAGAGAAAGTACCTTTTCCAGAGTATTGTTTTATTTGAAAACACTAGCTTAATAAGAGTACTTTTTGGATTATGGTCCTCAATGAATTACAGTTACACTGATCAGAATATTAATGACCAATACATGGCAAATGAGTAAAGACATACCTTCCCATCTCTAAAAGTAGTGTTGTCAGAAAGCAAATCCTATTACTTCCTACCAAAACACCAATCCCAAGAGCTCCCTATTTCATGTAATCTATTCCTGACCCATGTATCCTTTGACACGTCCTATGATAAGGACCTGAATGTCCTAAATTGATAGATTTGCAGGTTCTCTCCTAAAATACATAGCACAAAACACTATGCAGCAGCTGCCAGCACAGTATTCAAAATAAACTGTATTTCCCCACAAACATCAGCCAAACAGTGGCTTACCTTCAGGAGATCTTGAGACTAGCTTAGGTCATACTGAAGATGCTTTGTACCTACAGCCATCAGAGCAACCAACTTGTGGACAGCCAAAACGTCAAGTTAAATTCTGTATTTGTAAAACAAATTGTCAGAGATAACACATGTATCTTCTAGAGTTTATTTGTAGAGTGGTTTTGTGGTTTTCTTTTTATTGTAGCACATCAAATCAGAAGTTTTGGTAGGCTATTCACACAAAATTTAGAAGCATTTGAACTGTGTGGTCTGATTCTGTACAGGAGACTCTGAAAGCTCTTAAACAGGAAAAGCTGGTATTCACTTTGTGCCTTCACAATTACCATAGAGCAACGCCAAGATTGTGCCTTTGCCACGGAGGAAGCCATAGGAAGTTTTCTGTATGATAGTACTTACGGTCTTCCAGCATACTTCAGCTTCACGCCCTGTAAGAGAGGCAGACTAGGAAAGCAGATGAAGATGTTCAGAGGAGTGTTAGATACAGCTAGGTTTGCAACAAATCAAAGGGATACAGAATGCATATTTGCATTTCAGCGAGGATCTGCTGCTTCATAGTTGGATTGACATTTGTCACTACACCAGTTTGAGATGCCAGGTGATGTTCCAGTATTCCAGAATGTACAGTTCCATCAACCAAAAGCTGCTAGTTCCCAGAAGTCCCCTTGCTAGTCATTTATCCAAGCCTGAATTCCCACCATCTTTCAGCAGAGGCAAGCCAAGGAACCCTTTTCAGCCTAACAGTTTTACAGATTTTTAGAAAACTAGGAGACATCAGGTGTGCATAACCGTAGTGAAGAGTTACAGAGGAATTCACTAAATCTTGAAGATCAGATACTGCCCATCTTCTGCAATGCTAGATATCCTTATCATACCTTTTAAAGGAATACACCTAGAACACTCAAGATCTGAAGTTGTCATAAAGATGTATGTGGAAACAGGAAAAAGCGCCCTCTGCCTGCTCCATACAGGGCAGGAGAAACAATACTCCTTGCTTTGTCAGATTTGCAGTGTAAGCACCGAATCTAGCTTTATGCTTGGCAAATAGAATGGTGCTGCCACTGTCTACTGAGCTACCTTTTTCATGTTGTCGTCTTTCAGGTGTTTAAGCCCATCTCATAGTTTTCTAAGCAAATTCTCGTCCTAGATCTCACTTTGAACAAAAAGGACAAGTAGTACCTGTAGGAGGCTTTTGGTTTAGACGCCATAGTGCAAGCCACACATCCTTGATGGAAGCTGCAGTCTTTTGAAGAAGGTGGTTAGGTAGTTCTGTATACAGTCCCGGGGAGAAGATAAGCAGGAACAGTTCTAAGGCTCTTGATTCTGGCCTAGAATTTCTCATGACATGGCCCTGAATAAGCAGGCCATTTCAGTCTGGAGGTAAGTCGGAGCTGGACTGTCTGTGCTGGCCAGGCTTATCCAACAAAGTTAAGGTATTTCAGTGAGGGCTTGAAATCTGTAAGATCAGAAGGTATGCACTGCTTGGGGAAGAGAGTGGAGGTGGAAAAAAGCAGGATCTCTTTAGAACCAAGTATTTGCATCAGAAAAGCAGTAAGGACATTAAGACATTCTACTTTAATTTATGCAAGGCATACTATGATCTAGATTCTTCTAGGGCTCTGTAGAGGCTGGTGCTACTGGAGATAGAAACTGAACGTATCAGGCCTTTGGAATAACTTCCCAATACAGTCAGCCACATATAAGTTATCCTTCCATGAATATTACATTTGCTTGCTTACTTTGAAACACATTGGAAAACTTCCTGTTATTCTAAGAAAAGTCTCCAAGAAGGTTAGTTCATATTTTTTGGCTGCTTACACTTGCTACGGACCCCTGCATTTACCCATTGGTTTGGCATTATGGCATTTGTTTCCGTTATTCTCTCCAGACTACTCCGTGATGCAGCATTTTCCTCTTCCTGTTAAGACCAACACAGAAGAAATGAGTCCTCTTATGTAACAGTTTTCACACCCCACCCCACCCTGTCCAAAGACAAAATTATGTGTCCTAACATTTGTCTTATACACAAGTACAGTTGACATCCTACCCAGGACACAATTTTAAGCCACTTCAAACAGCAGTGAGTCTAGAACTGCATTTAAGTTAGAAGTTAATATTGCTTGATTATAATGCCATGTACTCATGACCTCTTGAAAGGGAATGAGCTCAAAGTCAATATCAAGAGCTATTTTATAGAATTGGCATGCATTTCAGGTTTAAATCAGTACTATACTGACATTCAAGAACTTCAGTCCCCATACAGACTGAGATGAACAGCGCTTTTATTTATTTCAGTTACAAGAAGAAAGACAAGTAAACCTTACAACCAGAAGGCAATGAAGGCCTCATGAGCTTAGTGATAACCATTTCATAATCTAGGCAACATGTTATGATTTTTTGAGATCACAAAGAAAGCATACCCCCCTCTTAAACAACATTTCCTTATTTCTGTAAGGAAATTTCCTGTAAGAACAGCACACTGATGTTAACAGAATCAAGAGGGACCACTGATGTACAAAGCCTACATTCACCCTCCCACACCTCCTCAAAAGGCTTAAGTGTAGACTTTATTCCAAAAAAGATAACACGCAGTCATGATCACAGCTAAAAGAGAGGGACAAATTAAAGCCTATTTCAAATGAAGTCAAATTATGATGCGTTAATGAAGTATATTTAACTTTCTCACATGGCAGTGTACTTCATGGGTAAAGAAACTCTCCTCATTTTAAGCCAAAGCTTATCTCACTTGTGTAGGAGGGAGAAAACAGCTTACACAAAAACTAATCCCCCTACCAAGCACTCTAGGTAAGAACTATGGCGTAAGGGAAGTGCTAGAAACATGTGGGAGAAATTACTGTACAAAGTGTCAAGTGTAAAGCCCCCTTGCCTAGAATTCAGTGTATTTACTTCAGTACAATAGAAAAGACTGAATTCAGGAGTGGTTGACAGTGGGATACAGTGCTACAGGTTGAACATTAGCCACTAAAAGACAACCCCAAGCATGCATGTATCCCACCACAGAGGAAAGATACGCTTGAGCTTCCTAACCTGCTCATTTCTGCAGTTTGCTCTAGCATCATCTCCTCCTTCATTACCAACTTAATTCCTGCACTCCTTTGAAGGGACCCCTTTAAAAAACAAATCTCAAAATTCTGGATTATTTGGCAAAAAAAAAAATCACTTGTTATTTTAAAGAACACAGAGTTCAAAAAAGAAAGGGGGGGTGAAAGGCTTGACAACTCATCTCTTTGGTTGCTCTTCTAAGCCATACGGGACCTAGAAAACATGAGGACGTACAGATCAAATATTGTTCCATCACCCCGCTGTTTAAACAACACAGTTGAGTCAGACCGTAACTTTTCAGCCAACCGCTAGCAGGTCAGTTTTAGTACACAACATAAAATCAACTGAAAAATATATTTTCACCCCCGCTCTCAGCTTTCCGCTCACTTAAGCGGCCAGGGATACATTTATTACGCAGTACTCACAGTAAGTCTCGGAATTTCACGCAAACCTATTAATTCCCAAGGAGTCTCCTTTTGGCTCAGTGAAGACTTTTGAGTACCTTAGCTTACATTCATTCTGGAGGCAGCCACCATGATTCCATTTACCCAAAGTACTATTTTTAGTGGGGCTGTTACCATCTTGAAATTGCAGTTTAACCAGCAATACAAAAGAGTACTGTTCAGTGTTTCCAGTGAAGGAGCTGAGAAAAAAAATCTGTAAGAAACCATTGCTGCAATTTTATTTTAACAAAAGGGCAGATTTATTCATGTTTACAAACAAGTTCCAAAAACAAAAAGGAGAACATGTATGCTACCCACTAACAACCTTTCAAAATGCCAACAGCCCTCATGCTGCATGAAGGATTCTATAGATTAGAAAAAAATCACAGTTCCACTCACAGTTCACCAAGACAGCACTAAACATGTTTAGACAAAAACAAAGGACTAAGATTCTGATGTATTTTGATTTAATCCATTTTGCCCGAGATAACAGAAATATTTCAAGCAAGTTCCATCACATATTGATGTCCTGCATTAAACAATCCTACTAAGTTCTGAACAAAAGTTATTCAGTAAGTTTCTGAAAATTTTTAAAAATTAAACAGTTGTTTCAAAACCATTAAGTAGTAAATGTATTTAAGAAACTAATTAGGACAGAGGCCATAACTTCATTAGAACACCACTGCTCATGTTTTTACAAAGCATTAGTGTTATCTATTTGGCTATTAGTATTAGCAATTTATCTACAATATTTAACAAGGTAAATTGCAGGCAAAATTTAGTACAGTTTCAATAGAAACACCCTTTTCCTGAAAATACAGCAGTATTTGAAGGACTATTTTTTTTGTTTGTTTTTTTGTAGGTTTTTTTTTTTTCTCTGCATCATTTATAAGGAAGCTTCCCATCTATGAACAGGAACAAAAAAGTATCTACAAACCTTGTAAACAGATCTGTATCATTTATAAACATAAATAATCCAAATTATTAACAGCCAACAGCAGAAATTAAAGTATCAATTCAACAATCCAGGGCCTCCTTGCCCTTCCCAGCCTTCCCCTCAGAAAAGGATCACGATAAACTAAAGCTCTGCTAACACACTGTTCGGGACCATTCTTAAGTACAACAGATGATCCACAGGTCACTTATGCTGAGTTACTGTCAGAGTTCATTATTACTCCCACCCCCAGAAAAGCACCCTCCAGTCTGGCAGAAAGCTTTTTTTAAAAAAATAAATCTACATTCGTACAAGTGTGTCTTCTGTTGAAGTCCAAGACAAGAGTATCATCTTGTCCATCATAATGTGTGAAGAGACCCAGTTTCAATTTCTTTACAATGCAGCTAGTGTGTTAACATTCAGCTTACAATCAGAGTGATGTTTCCAAACTATGTAGCGGGCTCCCTGGGGATGAAGAGGTAGCAGACTTGTTCATGTCTGTTGTAAGGTGAATTCCACTGTCAACCGCATTGTTATTTTTATTGGGAGAGGGTGGGGGAGTAGAGTTGCGTTTTGTTGGAGCATCATCTTCAGCATCAGTATCATCAATAAGGGGAATATGAGGCTCGGAGTCTTCTATTCTAAACTCAGGATGCGTCATAAAGTTGTGAATTGAACTTCGTGTCTCAGGTTTTTCTAGCCCCTCGTACAAGGAGCTACGAAATGCATTCACCACTCGGATCTGTAAACAAAGAAAAAAGGCTGTTAAAATGCTGCAGATTTACTGTTAATGGCATGGTTCTTATGAGTTTGAATCCACAAACAGCTAGACATGAGTGAATCGAATTTGTATGTGATGCAGTGGAACTTGCAATAAACTGTAAAAAATGAAGAGCATTTCAGTAGAGCACTGCCAGTCTACACTAGGAATAAAAATTGTAAGAGCACTGCAAAAAGCTGAAGGGCCTAAAAATTCAGACATGGCACTAGAATTGGTCAATTATTTAACATGGGCTAAGCATTTTTCAGAAGTAAGGCCAACAATTATTTACTTATTCACAAATTAAGTAAATCTCAATGAGCGTTTTATTGAATACTTGGGGGAGGTGAGGGGAGTGGGGAAAGGAGGGGAGAGGCTGAAAATAAGTTAGAGGATAAAAGGGTTACTAATTCTCATGCTAGGAACTAGGATGTCAACTGACTATGAAAAAGCCAAGCAAGTGTAAGCCAATGTCACAATGACCGGACGTTTACAAAGAGTCATGCAAAAAAGGATACCACTGTAACAGCTGTAAATATTCGAGTATATACCCATTTACCACACTAAAGAAAGTTCCTTACTGAATAGTGCTTTGGAAACTTAAGACCAGAACTAGGAAATTGAATACTGTATTGTACAGTTAAGTAGCCATGACAGGTTGTAACTTTCAAGAGACCATTCAAATAGCACAAAGTATGAGAAAAGCAGGTGATCAGCCTTTGCTTGAGTCTTCCATTTACGTTGAATTCATGGACAAAATCCCCAGGCTGAGTATTATTTCAAGTCCTTTCATTGTTTAATATTTTTCCAAATCAGAAAGCTAAGTTTACAGAGTTTATACATAAACATTTCAGAGTGAAGTTAGATACAATAAAGTACAGCTTCATTTTGCAAATTGTGCATGTCCAGGTTGACTTGAATTTCAGCTTTCCAAATTGCAATTTGAATGATGAAACCACCTGCCCACACCTCCATTCTCCTCCCATGCCCCACACGTTTCCCTGACCAACTATAGGAATCCAGGATTCATTCTTGAACTGATAAAACAAATAAGGTTAGGCAGAAGTCAGTGAGCCCTTCGTCCAACACTTTTGTCAAGACAGTCTCCCCCTTATGTTAGCTCCCTATTCCATTCTCAACACCTCTACCCTGACTAAGTCTCCAGCAAAGCAGTTTCAATCCTAAAGCTCCTCTGATGTATAGTAAGGAGCAGAGCAACACTGTAGTAAACAAGAACTTACTGTTACAAACAGTAAGTCCAATTTAAAGATATGTAAAGCCCAATTGTTTTAGCACATCCAAGAAGACATGTTTCAAGCTGAGAAATACATGTCATGACTAGTGCTTCCACAGAGTTCCTTGATAGCACAAATACAGTGACTTTCAGGTGAAGGAACAACGCTGGAAGGTCAAGCAAATCAAGAGCACAGACTTCAAAACAGCTAAGGTACACCAAACAGCCTCACTGTAAAAACGGAGAAGGGCTCCCCAAAAGCAACACATTATCAAATTTTTTACCACAGAATCACTGCACATGATGAAAGTCTTTGGTCCTGACTGTGTTCTCTAGAAATAGTATTGTTGCCCCACCCCTACCCCCTCAGAGCACTCACACAGTGAATTTTACTCAAAAGCTACAAGAGGACAGGGAATAGTGTGAATGTTCTTGAGAAGTAAAAGATTACAACAGCAGCTAGTGCTTTACTGTTCATCATACGAAAAACGTGAGAATGCTGTTAAGGAGTTGGCAGGTTACATGAGCTTCAGACAAGTCCAGAAAGCTGCACAAACTGTCTTGGCACTTACCAAGAAGATCAGCAGCAACAATGCCAGACTGAAAGTCTGCAATGCCTTTATTTGGCATGTTGCATCCCACTGTGCCATTGATTTATGTGGCAAAATGAAATATGACTGCCTCGTGGGACTGTTTTTTCATTGCTTACAGATGGTAAGTTAGAACATAAGCAGTAATGGAAAACAATTTTTGGCTTAACACGACAGCTGCAATTATCATAGGAATATAAGCATACCCACAATAAAGGTTTGATTCCCATGCAGAATGCACACTAAACACGTGGTCTAGACACTCCTATGAACCCAGGACCCTCAAAGAGTCCAGCCCTGAAGGCAGAAATCAGACTATCAGCATTTTAATACTTAAAAAGGGAAAATCTAGTGTTTTGAGGGCTTTATTTTCAACTACTCACGATAATTAGATGAGAGAGGTAACTATAAATAAATTGCGTAAGCAAGGAGCAAACAAGACAATTTGTTATGTGTAATTTATATTGTCATCAGGCCTTCCTTATATTAGTACCAGAATAGCAAGGAATGCAGTAAGCACTCCAAATCCCCCTAGCCAGATGGCTGCTTAAGAGCTGCAACCTCACTTCACAGGAACAGCTGAACTGTTTTCCAACAAACATTCCGAAAGAAAGACACAATGAACTAACACATCTGCTTCCCATTAATACATATTAGTTATCAAAAGTTGTTGTCCTGAAGGGTGTAGCAGAAGGCTGTACTACTTAGTAAGGATCAAAAACTAGTTCTCTGCTGTTGTAGCTCCGTATCTGCATTGATCATCTGATGCAATGAGATGCTGCAGTGCCCATTAGATTCTGCTCAAATGGCACCGTGGCATGAAGTTGCTCTCTAGAGAATTCTGAATGTCTAATTAATGTCCTTGAGTGTAGTTAGGGATACAGGTTACTACTTAGCATTTTAACTAGGAGATGCAATCCTGTGCATCCTTGCTGTTAAATCTACTTTTCATTTCATGTTCTTGAGGCATGTGAATTTGTGAGCTGAGCTTCCCAATACTACTGCAAGGCAGGGAAATACCTGTCTCGCCAATGGAGAACAAGTACAGAGGTAAATACTTGTGCAAACTCACACAGGAATTCTGCCGAAGCCAAAAAAAAATTTCAGAAGAGAACATTTAATTTAAGACAGCTCCTGAAATTGAGGGTCTTCATCCATCTGGCAATCTGAAAGTTTAAAAAGTGGGGGGAAAAAGCCCTCTCAGAGTTATTTTAAAGAACAATTACTTAACCAGTCTCTAGGAAATTAGAGAAGGAAGTTAAACATGTAATATATAATTAAGATTGAAAACTCTTTCAACAATAGATATTAGCTATCAGTATTCAACTACAACTGTTAGGCATCTTCCGGCTCCGGAGGTTAAGTCTACATACGTGAGTAATTAAATCTCTAGCCTCTACAGAGAGGAAGGCTGAAACTGAAATGCCACTTAGAGCACAATATTAAGAGGGCAGAATCAAGGTGAGACAAACTTTACTTTCACTGATGGCTTATGAACTGCTGCCAGAAGAACCTAGAGAAGAAAAAAAAACCCCTTCAGATTTGACTGAAAGTTTCGCCATTCAATTCTTAAACCTTTTTTTTTTCCTTTTTATAATAGCTAGTTACATGTTTCTTCTACCTTGTACACATTTTAGAAGCCTTGTTTCGCCACCTGAATCCTGATGTTGAGAAAGTTGTGTTATTTGGTAAAAGAGGTCCAACAAAAGCAGAGATTCTGAAGTTCCTTACAGGCTACAAAGAAAATGTATTTAGTGCTCCATGTTCTAACTACATTCACATTTTTAACACACCATTTGCTTTCCCATCAGCTTGTTCACCTTAAGTATCACTTGTGCTGCAGTACAAGACATCTGTTTTCATTGACCTGGGTCCATGATTATACAGTTAATTCACTTATTCAACCTAAGTCACCCCAAGAGGCATATACTCGAAAATTTACAACAGTTTTCCCGTTTTATCTTAAACACCCCTCTGTACACAAATGGATGAAGGCACAGCATGTGCAGGCTCACAGCTTTCACATTAAAGTCTTTTGTTGAAACTGTTCCACCTGTTCTCAGCCCTCTAAGAAAAAAAAGTCTTGAGGACTCCACTTTGTGGAAGAGCTCTATAAAAGCCTGAACGATGATTTAAGTACTAAGGAGAAAATGAGAAACGTTAGGTACGTGAATTAGGAAATGTTAATTTCATGCACTTTAGGAACACACACTCACACCCCACAGTAGTAGAAGCAGTAGTAGAGGAAAACACTACATGTGTAGGGGTAGAAATATTTGTTACATCATGGTGCTGGCTGGCGATGGAGGGTTGCCGCCTTAGAGCCCCCTGAATGGTACTTCCACTCTGGAAAGCATTCACTACATCCATCTGCAAGGAATCAGAGATTGTGACAGCTTGCTCAGCAAGAGAGAGAGAGAGAACAAGAGAAAGGACCATCCCATCTATAACACACAAAAAGTAAAGAAAAAAAGGCACTTTTTTTTTATAGAGCAGATACACAGGCAAGAGTTGCATTTAGAGCTGAAGAAAACAGAGGACCCTGAGGGATTACAGACATCCACACCCCCTTTTGACAGTCTCAGTCACACCAGATGGAACTGCCACCTTAGTCAAAGGACTAGAGATGAAGAGATTTCCCTCATAACACCCACTGCATCCTACCTTTTTCAAGACCATACCTGAGTTTGTATCCTGTTTAGGCCCCTAAACCACAAGATCTGACCACGACGTAGTTCTCTCTCAGCATGATCGATCTCCTCTACATCTTCTGCTAATTCTTCTTCAGGAATTTCTTCCTTTTGTGTTCCATGACCAGCTTCTTTAAGGAATTTCAGACGACTTGTTGGAATTGTTGAAATCAACTAGCGGTGAATGAAAAATATGAATCAGGATTATTCTTTCCTTAAAAAAAACCCAACAAGTGTAATACCAGACTTAAGGCTTAACACAACATCCTACATACAATTAGCAAAGTCAAAAAACCAAATTATGTAAATGGGGTGAGTGCATCAATGTAGAAGATCACTCCAGCCGAATAGCTGCAAAGCTGTGAATACCCTTACCGCCTCAACTGAGGTGTGAAATCAAACTTGGACTACAAACCTAGAAAACAAAACATCCTTGCTAGGATTCCACTACAACATTACTTGACTATGCCAGGAAGGAGCAGTACTGAAGCTACAAGAGCCATTAAGTCTGTAGATTGTGCCTGTATCTAGAGCTTTTAGAGCTCAATCAGTTTGATAAGCATGATGTGTTACTTCAAGTGAGAATTACATCATTTAATCAAGAGAGGCCACAGTTAACTCAGAAATACAGAACAGACATGCATTCTTTTGTGACCTGGCAGGTATCAATCATCCAGCTCTTGGGATAAAACTCTTACTTTGGTGCACACTAGCTCATCTAAACAAGAGCTACATATGGCTGTTCCAGCTTTCCTTTTCATCCCCACCTTCAGGACTATTCTGGTGAACTATGTAGTTAAGGGGAGTCATCTTTTGATACGTCCCATCTAGCAGATCCAGACCAGTTCCAAGACTGCTTTCCTTGATCATCACAAACCTAGAAGACCATTTCAGCAGCTGCAGAGGAAAAAGACTGTTCCAAAAGCAAGATAAACAGTCCTTTATGCTGAAATTGCCACTATGAATGCTCCCAGATCACACTTCAGTTTTTACTACTCTCAGAAAGTCAAAAGCTCTTTGACTTTAATGAGATGCTAGAGCAGCATGAACTGCAGCAGTGAAGCTTTGCCCTTGCAAGTCACTTTGGGTCAAAGGTATTTCAAGCCATCTCAATTCTCTTCTAGGCTACTTTTAAACCTCAGAGTGACTCTATTTGATTTTTTTAAATAATTAATTGTCTGGAGAACCTTATTAAAAAGCTTATACCCACTTTCAGAATATGTATTTATGTGTGTTTACAACCAAAATTCACCCTACCAATTTTATAATGAAACCTGAAGTGCCCTTTACAAAATGGAAGGAAAGAAACTGTAATGGAAAACCCTTCATCTGGTATGAAAAGTTTAAACAACTATGTCATTAAATAATGGAAAACTCCGCAGCTCTAAAGTTTCATGTAAATAAGCTTGCTGCTTACAAGCACTGTTGTGCATGCAACAGTAATGAAGCCCTAAGGGGGAGTGAAAAATAAAAGTCAAAATGCAATAGCTTAATAGGTGGGAGAATTTTCCAATTATTTCATAATTATGCAAGGTAAGAATAAAGAGAAAGTCATTTTGAGTTTTGCTGCATTTCTTGCTACTCTAGGAAGTTTTTGTATCAAGACGTTGTTTATAGCAAGTTTAACGATTCTGATTTTTCAATAAAACAATTCAACACTAAGTTAAATCTATTTCAATATTAACATGTTCATTGCATCTGTATTCTTGCAGAACTTCTAGTACTTATCTGGCTAAAGATATAATTTAATATTTAAAAGCTAACTACAGCTGCTTCTAATTAAAAGTTACTAAACATAAGCCGGTCATAGCATCTAGTAATGAAGTGTAACTAATTGACCAATTCAGAGTGAGGAATATCCAACTAAGGACTTTCTAGCTATTGAATGAGTAAATTTTATATCTGTATTTACTGTTAATCTCTATGTATTCATATAGCCCACCTGAAAGATCTGAATGCTAAAGATAGCATATTTGTATTTCCCACGTGAAGTATCCTAATGCAAGTAGATATTTGGCATTTTGAAAATTCTAGTTTACCTGGCCCCAGAGTAGTGTTCCCATGCCCAGGAAAATGGACCACAGCCACTGTTCAATCGAGAGTTCTGAGCAACTGAAAGGCTTCCCACCAAACTGCACAATAATTATCTGTGAAGAGCAACACCATTGAACACCATTTATCAGTGAACTGTTACTAGAAAATTCCCTAATGCTTCAAGATCACTACAGACAACTCTGTATTAGAACATAGGATTTCCCATCTTAAGCATAACTTCCACTGTCTCAGCAGTTTCAGCAAGTTTCCAAACCTAAGCCAACTTCTTATGCTTTTCGGTATCTCAGGAACTACACATTTATTCTTCAATGTCACACTCAAAAACCTGTTGACTACTTCATTTTGCTTGCACTTCTTTTGCGCTTCATCTCAATTACAGCACATATTTGATGCTACAAATTTACAGTGGTTATTTATCATATGAATACCCACCTCAGAACAAAGTTGATTATTAAATTTCTTATTAATAAGACGTAGATCCACAAGACATGAAACATTACAGAAATAATTCAATAGAATATTACTATGTATCCCATTCAGTGTTAACTGTCAGACTTTAAAATCATCATGGTGTGACATCTATGTAGTAAGTCTTCGGGGGAGGGGACAGATATCTCAAAAGCTAAATTAAATGAGCTCCTACTAACTTACCTATTACAACAAGCTGTACAGGCCCTAATGAGCAAGGTATCCCTCTGCATAGGAATTATATGCATGAAAGTCTGCCTTGGAGAATCAACAATTCAAGTAGCAAGGCAGGCATGAAAAGGAGACAGTATTGACCATTAAGTAGGACACCTGACAGCTGAAAAGGCCAAGAGTATCTTCTTTTATTAACACAGAATAAAACACTGAGACAACATCTCAGGAGTTACTTATTTGGGAAGGCATTCAGTCTGCCAAGTTATAAAGGGAACACAGTTGCAGTCAGGAGTAATTTCTACATATATGGCTTTGTTGCACAACAACAGTCAGTCTGCTGCATATGCAACCCTAAACCCAAGAGCAGCTTCTGAAGAAGTGTCATCTAAAAAAATCTAAACCTGGGAGAATAAGCAAACTAACTTTACATGAAACAGAGGTGCATACATTTGCATTGCTTGAATGGCTATGAATTTGGTCAACTTCATGGAATCCCAAGTCTAAGGAGAAGCTTAGGGCATAGGTTATATTTTAAGTCTGAAATAACTCAAGTCAAAATGAAAAACAGTTCTAAAGAAAGGAGTATATTGGTTTGTTGGTTATTTCTTCTGATGAATTAAAAGGCCATTTAGAAGGTGCAACTATTTCTTTTAAGTTATTCTCTTTAGGTTCAATTTCGACTTGGTATTTCTCAACCCTAGTGTGTTAACACCCAATCAATTTCAGATAATTTCATTTCATTTGTTAGCATATACTGAGCTAACCAACTAGCTTTTACAAATCTGCCTAGATGCACCAACAGAAGGTTCCTAGATATCAGTGTTTTTCACCTAAAACAGCATCATTTATATTGATAGCTGTAAAATATATACCAATACAGAGAACAGATTTCTGCATCAGGAAGATAAAAACTGATACTTAAATTTCTAAAGCTTATTTACGTCCTAATCTCATTAAGAAGACAGGAGAAGTTGTAACTTTTCCATAATTCTTTAAATGGGCTCTTGTTCAGATGCACAGGCAGATACTATGAGGAAGTTCTAACTGGGGGCAGGGGGAAGGAAACATACAACATCACATTTTGTCAACAGACGAGAACACTAAGATCGAATTGAAGGACTAGAAAATTCAAAAGGTAAATACAAGTACATCTACATTCCAATTTTACCAATTTCCAAGAGGTCTTACCTGAAAACACTATCAAGCAGCACTTCCAAGTGATTTATAGCGTGTTTGACACTGGAGGTTTTTCACATGGCAGATATGAAATGCCTGGCACTAGTTGATCAACATTTCCAAGGTTAAGCAATACATCAGTATACTAAGTGCATTTTCCCCCCACTCTCCAAGAATTTACTCACCTGCACAACAAACGTTCCCAGAACAATAGAACAGAAGATAGCGTTGTTAAAGATTCCTTCAAAAACGTTTCTTTCACCATGAATTTTTCGGGCATTAATTTCATTAAAAAGCTGCATCATCACAAATGTATTAAATACAATAGTATAATGCTCTGAAGGAGGAGCATGCAGAGGTGCATTTCTTCCACTATCGATGTCAAAAATTCTCTCACCTGCATATAAAAGGCATTTATCAGCAGCTTAATTGGCGTCTTTACACACACAGACACTAAACCAAAAAACTAGTTTTAAGATCACATCTCTGTACAACTTTTAGAATAACTTTATAAAGCCTCAGTATACTTACCAGCAAACAGGAGTGTGAAGACCACTACGAGTTGGTAGAATGCATGACCCAAGATGTTCTTCATCATCGTACGAGAAATCAAAGGTTTGTTTCTCCCATAAGGCTTTCGCAACAGAAGAGCTTCCGTGGGTGGTTCTGTCGCCAGGGCAAGAGAAGCTAATGTGTCCATTATGAGATTTACCCACAGCATCTGCACAGCTTTCAGTGGAGAATCCTATAAAGATAGATACATAAACCCTCCAATATAAGTGAGCAAATTGCAGCTATTAAAGGCATTTATTATACAACATGGGCATGCTCTGATGAGCATTATGTTCTTTGGACTAGTATTTAACTGAAAGTTTGAATTCAAGAGTTAGTCACGACATTTTCAACCTTTATTAGCTGAAACAATCCACCACCAGTACGTACTTGTGTTATGCATGCTCCTGTAAAAGCAACAATTACTGCTACTACATTGACAGTAAGCTGGAACTGAAGGAATTTGGAGATGCTGTCATACACGTTTCGTCCCCACATAACTGCTTTAACAATACTTGTGAAGTTGTCGTCTGTAAGGATAATATCAGAAGCTTCTTTAGCTACGTCTGTTCCGGCAATACCCTGGTAGAAAAAGAAAAACACTATGAAATATAACAGGATGCACTGACTTATGTAATAGAAGCTATTACTATATCCTTGGTCAGCATTCACTTTGATGTACCATGTCTGAAGGACTATTTTAATGTAAACACCTAAAGTTCTACTGAATCAAGTTTTGCTTGCAAGTTCTACTCAAGCATCAGAAAATATAAACAAAGAAAAGGTAATGTCTTTAAACTACAGACGTTAAGTTGGTGATAAAAGACACTGGGTAAGTTAAGTTCTCCCACAGAAACGTCACTGAACCCTGTTCACGTTAAAGGCCACCAGATGGTGCAGTACTACAGGTTAGTCTATGTCCTAATGAGTTTACTATACGGATTCCAGCAGCAGGGCAATGCATGTGTCCATTACACAGTAGAATGATACAAAAACCTTTTGCAGAAGAGCACTGGCATTAAGCAGTAGTATATGCAAAAGTCGTTGCATATGACACTGCAATGCAATGTGACATTCTTAAGTTTTAAGCACCTGTAGTCTCCTACAGATTCTAAACAGTTAAGCTGAGTTCTGCGTAATACCCACTTCAAGGATATTTACTTGCTTTCAGCATTTCAAAACCACTAACTCAATAGCAAATTTAATGATCCTTATTCTTGATACATTATTTTGCCAAGGTAATGAGTCACCTGCACAGCTACGTGTATATCTTAAAAGGTACCTTTAAATATCATATAGTAGATGGTATATTTTAAGTGCTATTTAGATAAGCAGTTAGAGAAATTAGTTTCTTACACAGGTGAACACAGACAGCAACTGCAGGAAAAAGTTCTACAAGATAAAAATAAATCTGCCTCTGACAGTGTGAACTACAGCAGCTATACAATAGTAGAAAACAAATACTGGTTAAAACAAGACTGTTACAGTCTAGAGAACATTTCCTATGTAGCTGTCAAATTTGTAAGTTATGCTTTTGAAAAATGCTCTTTGAGAATGACATGAAAGCTCTCACTCTTACTGGTTTTTCCCTTTAAGATTAGCATCCAAGTCAGTGCATCTGCATGTGGTGTAGAAGTGGGGTCTTCATATTTTTTTCCTTCAAATGCTTAATATCAGGTTTTTAAAGACTAAAATGACCTACTAGCACCAAACTGTACCTTTTCAGGTTCAGACTGAGGAGCAACCTTGAGGCAAGATGAAGCTTGAGGAATCTGTCTTACGGTGTTTTAAGAAAGAGGCAGAAGAAAGCTGAAGCCTACATACTTAAAGCACAAGTTTATCTAGTATTAGCACTTAAAGCCAAGACTTGGGTTGGCTACCATTTGAAAGGGTAGTTGAGAATTTAACTTGAGAAAGCCAAGTAATCTAAGAAATCAACCAGACAAATGCAGATCCTAGACTGTCATAACATGCTGTTACTTCCTTTGCACTAGAGATATCTCTTAGTATAGCCTCCAAAGCCATCGTAAACATCAACTGGCAGTCTCTGTCATTATAGTTCCCTGTTCTTATGCATCATCTCATGAAAAGCAGATGAATAAGCTCATTCCATATTGCATATAAGCTTTACTCAGTCAACATAATATGCTATTTACCACCTAAAGTCATTTTGCCTTATGTTGAACAGACCTAATTCCAGTAATTCCGTTCCTACATTTTGCAACAAGCCTTTGTGTAAAAAAGTTTTATTTGCAAGTGACTGGGGATCTGCATTTAAGTTTTACTCAACAGCAAATGCCACAAGGACATTTTCCATGAAATAAAAACATGGTTAAGCTGGAAGACTGAGTAAGAAGGAAAGAGTAATTAGTATTAAGTGTGAGTGATGTTGACTCCATTAACTTACTTGTTTATTAGGCTTATGAAACAAGCAAGTTTGTTTCATCTTCTTTCATGTGATTTGATAAGTTATTTTATCAAAACAGGTCTCCGAAACACTGAAGATTAAAAAAACCAAAACAACCCCAAAAACATACCATTGCAAATCCAACATCTGCCTTCTTAAGAGCTGGACCATCATTGGTACCATCACCAGTTACTGCTACAACTTGCCTCTGTTCAAAGACAGTGCTGTCAATTATACCTAAAATAAAATGACATCTCTGTGTTAGTTCAAAATTGACAACACAGCACAGATTAAACCTGAAAGAGAAACACAGTTTTTTGTCTTCCTCAGTCATCAAAAAAAGAATCATAAGAGATAGTTCTAATTAGCTCCATTTCTCAAGCAGGAAAAAAAAAAAATTAATCAGTTGGCCAGTAAAGATACCCTCATAGGCATTTCCTACTGCTCAGTCCTAGATGCTCAGATAGTTTTTACTCACCTTTTACCAGAGTGTGTTTGTCAGTGGGAGAAGATCTTGCAAGAACACGAAGCTTTGGCCAAATTTTATCTATTCGTTCCTGCTCTATCTGCAAAACAGCACTGGTTATACTTTACAGTTACAAGACTTAGAATATCTGCTGATCTCCTTTATATAGTCAGTATGCTTACCTCTCCTTTTTCATTGCGTATTCTCCTGTTAAAGTCTTTGCCCTCTAAACACAGGAAATCTTCACCAGGATTGAGAATACCACATTTTAATGCAATAGCACGAGCAGTGTTAATGTTATCGCCAGTGACCATACGTACAGTTATGCCTGCACGTTGACACTTTTTTATTGCATCAGGTACCTGTAAGCAGAAAAAACCAAACAAACCACAGGCTCAGAGACTGTACATTAATGGAATAAATCTAGACGTGTGAGTGAACGGAATGTTTTCGGCTCAATTCAGGATAACTTTTACTTTAAAGTCAATACTCTTGTTGTGGAATATTTAAAAAAAATAAATTAAGTATCTCATCACAATTCTTTTCTTGAAAAACACACAAATGGCAATTCTGGCAAAGGGGCTTTGTTGTTATGTCATGTCCCCTCCCCCTTCCTTCATTTTTCAAGTACTGCAGTATCCAAAAATACCACAAAAATCCTCATGACATATTAGGCTGTAGTATTCAAAAGTATTGAGTAGTGGCTTTTCATTTAAGATTACGTGACATAAACTACAGCTCACACTCCTTCACCCATGACTTCTGGTGTGAAGTGAAAATAGTGCAGATCAGACTGGAGTTCCACTTACATGTGGCATAAAAGCTCTCACTGTTGAAAAATACTGCCCTAAGACCTCAACCACAAGACACACTCCTTACCTCAGTTCTAAGGTGACAAACCCTCCTCCCCCTCATTCCCTCAACAAGCACAATGGCTAATATTGTCCTAAACAATACTCCTAATATTGTAAGTGGTAAAAAAAAATTACAAGTTGTTCCATCTACTGAGACCCTGCACAGTAAGCGCCTTAAGTCATTAGTTTGCATAGAGCTTCAGTAACACAGCATAAGTGACATTAAGAAGTTTTAATCTGCTTTTATAGCTCCATTAACTTTCCCCCCCCCAAGAAATTAGATTTTCATTTATCAACTACGCTTAAGGCATACAATAGCAATTCAGCGTCTTGTACTCTCTTCATGACAAACAACACGAACCAAGATCCACTGTAACAATCACTACAGTTTAGTCAGTGACCCTACCTCAGGTCTCACAGGATCTTCAATCCCAACAACAGCAATGCACGTCAGACCAGTAACAATATCATTTTCATTGTCCCATTCCGGCTCAGGTTCCCCTGCTGGGAAGTCTCTGAATGCCAGGCAGATAGTTCTGAGCCCTTCAGAAGCCATTGGCTCAATTACAGTTTTCACAATATCATCACGGTCCCTAGGTCTAAATACCTTTGGTTCTCCATTAGCACTGAGTATTTTGAAGCACCTGAAAAAGAAAAGTTTAAGGAGTTATCCAATTTTAACCAGAAGTTCAGCCCATTCAATGGCTTATTAGTCAACTCCAGTACGTTTCTACAAGCTTTGTTTTCACTAGACACACACATGCACAAAAAGCCAGTAGCAGCATCTCTAAAATAATCTTCTTCATATGCACCTAATCTTTTCCCAATTGCAAAACATACTAGCTGTATAAAGTTAACTGAGCCAGTCATCCTACCATCCTACGATAAAAATAATGCCCAATAAATTTAGGACACAAACATCAGTTACCTCCCATTGTATGCAAACAGACTGGTGTCTACACTGGTTGAGTTGGTCATGTTAACATGCATGTGCTTAAAAAGCTGTAAATGCCAAACTTACAGCACTGAAAGCAAACTCTGGTACTGCTATCCTTAGGAGTAGTAAGGTTTACTACCCCACCTCACCTTCCCCAATCTAAGTGCAGAGAATTCAGAGGGCATCTGACACAGAGCTCTTAATGTGATACATTAGATTAAAAACAAGTACTTCAATCAGATTTAAATATTTGTATAAAAGACTAGATTCAACACTAGGTACTCCAGCATTTCAACACATGCTCTTCTAGCTATGTTTCTTCATGCCAAAGATGCCACTGCTTTCACATACAGCATAGATACTTTACCAATATTGACACCATGAATATAACACTACCAAATATTCTGAACAATAAATTTAGTCTTGTTCATCTACATCCCTGGCAAAGCTTTGCCAGAAAGAAATGCCATAAGCATTTGTTTTGCTAATTAGTATTAACATGGCACTGAAAAAAAATATAAGAACTTACAACTTTTTTTAAAATATCAAGTTCAGACCTGGCAGATCTGCTAAGATGACTACTATTACATTTAAGTGGACAGTCCAAGGGGTTTAGGGAATTCTCAGGTGCAATACATATAAAAAAGGTTTCCACCTCAGCCAGGAAATGAAAGTGAAGTGGTCCTTTAAAGCATCATAGTATTCCTTATAACTGAAATTTGAAGTCTATTTGAATTTCCTGATTTTGGCTATCTGTCCAAATGTAAGCAACCACCAAGAAGGATATCTTGTGTTACCTGCAATCATAGGGTTTGTAATAAATTCAAAAGCATTCCAAGATGACCAAATGGAAGCCAATAAGCTTTATGTAAAGATTTCATTGAAACTCACTTCAAATACTTGACTTGATGGTAAGGAAAGAAGAATAAAACTGCTCTGCTTGAAAAAAATTTGCTGCATTTCTTCCACAGATATTAGTGACTCATTTGTTACCTACAAATATTCATGTATAAGCTTTCAGTGCTCAAGAATAGTCATACATGTTATAATAAAGAATGAGCAGCACAACTGACAAACCAGGTTACAAGCCCCGAGATTCATTTCTGGCACTGTGCAGGTAGCAGGTAAAGAAAGTGGCTTATGATGCTAAGACGACTTCCCTAGTCAGTGCATACTCTGAAATAGTTTTGGAATGACAACTATTCCAATAACATACATATCAGTCTAGGTGTTCTCGTTCTTTGCCAAATGTCCTTTTTTATTTATTTTCTTATCTCAGTTATGAAGCTGAGTGGACCACATGAGTCTGGGCTGAATGAGTTTGAGCAACTTCTACAGTTCAATTGTTCATTAAGATAAAGTGCAAAATATTTCTGAAGGTAGAAGTAACACAAACACAAATACAAATAAGTATGCCATACTTCTTCACTTATGAGACTTGGCTTAAAATCTAGCTATGAAAAAAAATTCACACCTAAATCCAAAGTTCTGTATCAAAAGGAACAAGAGACTTTTCAAGACTGATCTTTTGTGGTCAGCACTAAATTGAGGAAAAGGAAGATCTCCTTTTTTTTTTCTTTAGTGCATTAGTACTTTCCTAGATGATAATTTGGGGAGGCCGTAGCAAGCAAAAAGGCAAATTATACTGATGAACATAAGCTATGCGCTACTCAGACTAGAAATAGTCCAACATTAGAACCAAAACCAGACTGGCTGCAACTGCTGTTCCTAGAGAACATGATGCATACGTGCTTGACTTCTCTCCTCACCTAGTTAGGAGTTACTACTGACGCCTTCCCATCTAAAGGTTTGTCCCAGTGGTGACTAATCTCTCACTAATAGTCTAATCTCATTCTAATAAATCCTCTATAGATGGGCAGACAGATAAGGAAGCAATTTGCTTTGTCACATTAAAACCCTCAAGTTTCTCCATTGGCTAAGTTCAACCTTCTGTTAAAATGATCAACCAACTTGCACAGTCTTTTTGAAGCTAAAAGTAATCACTTTTCAAAGGCATATGTCCTTCTTGGAATTTAGGCACATCTGCTGTTAGGACTTCACTGGAAGATGGGTGAGCATTTTGACCAACCACACCTAAAACTAAAACAGCTTAACTAGAGAACAGATCAATTAATAGATGCTTTCCTCTAGCAGAGAAGAGTTCGCAAGTTAAATTAATCATGACTAACTCTCTTTTGGGGCACAGGGCTGGGGTATGAGAATTAAAGTAACTGAAATGCTAATTGCCCACCTTACTGTAGAAAGCCAAACAATTGAGGGAGATGAGCTGGGAAGCTTGTCTACCCTATACAAGGGTATAGGACCGCTGCACTTGTTTGTGAACAGGGCAACAAATATTTTGTAGACTATGGCACAATGTTGTTTAGCTCTTCAGTCTCCTCACCTATCACATTTAGCCAAATTTAAGTGCTGAATTACAATAGTAGTTGTTCTTACTTTTTAAGAACTATCTCAGAGGCACCTTTACTGAATATCCGGAAACTGCCATCAGAATTTTTTAACACAGTACTCATAGATTTTCTAACGGAGTTGAAGGTGTACACTTTGTACAAATCCTCTTCTGGTATCTCGTTTCTTACGTCCTGATAATCACGTTTTAAATCCAAAAGCAATCCCAGCAAGGCACATTCAGTTTTATTTCCAACATGACGTGGTAGGCCACCTTCTTTTTCAGGAGGCTGCAAGAAGAACAAGAACCTTTGTTGATTAGGAGGTTAACTTATGGACCACTGAAGTACAGCATTTGGAAAACAAGGAAGCTAAGGCCAAGCTTAGCTCCAGGATGGGGAAGTTGCACTTTCACAATGATTATAAATTCCTATGAGTCATGAACCAAAGTTATACTGCTGGCTTTTGTAAGTAACTTTTTATACCTGTTTAGGATCTTTCAGTCCCTTTCTCAGACTCAAAATTCACCCATTAAGTTTCTATCAAAACCCAATAGAAACTTTCTAAAGGCATTTTCCATTGCTTGAAATATTTATCTGATCTATTGAGCGTAGTCCCTGAATAATTATTTTGCATTTTAAAAGTATGGATAGGTTTACTTAAACTGATTTAAGCACAATAAATGGCATTATTTCTGGTAAATTATCCTCTTCTGTAATAACTCTTCCTCAATGACTTAGACTACAATCATATCACCTGTTAGCCTTCTACTGAACAAACTAAGTCTTTAAGCTTCTTAAGTCTCACTACAAGTTCTGTTTTCCAGGCCATGGCCTATTTAACTAGAAAGAGTTCAGAAACAAGTTTCCAACCCTTTAATACCAGAACAAGTTTCTTATCTCAGCAAGGCGAAATATGCATGTACTAGCGGTATAAGCAAAGGAGTGTTTCTCAAGATGTTTCGGAGCCTATATAGCTATATAACCCTGCAGCGTAGTTTTTTGTAAGAAAGGCAGCAGCGCTTATTCAGTCTGATATGCCTCAAGCAGCTAGAGCTAGGCTGTATTAATAATAACCCAGTGATCCATTTTCATTGCTCAGAACTGCAAGATCTTGGATTTGGCTGTACTGAGTACTCACACTTTCAAACCATTCATTTTAATGTGCAGTTTAAGATGTCCAGTTCTGGGCTTCCCAGTACAAGAGACATGGACATCCAGGAGCAAGCCCAGCTGTGGGCCACAAAGATGATAAAGGGCCTGGAGCACCTGACATGAGGCTGAGACAGCTGGGACTGTTCAGCCTAGAAAAGGCTCTGAGGGAGAAACTTATCAGTATGCATTAAATGCCTGAATGGGGCCGGTGAGTGGGGATAACGACTGCCAAGCCAGACCTTAGTCATGCCCAATGAGAGGACAACAGGCAATGCCTACAAACTGAAACTCTTGAAATTCCATTTGAACATAAGGAAACATCTTTTATTCTTAAGGGCGGTCAAATACTTGACCAGGTTGGCCAGAGGTTGCAGGATCTCTATTATTCTGAGATTCTTAAAACCTGAGTGGACATAGCACTGAGCTATGTGCTCTGGCTGACCCTGCTTTGAACAGTGAGGTTGGATCTCAAGAGGTCCCTTTCAGCTTGCTGTGATTCTGTAAAACAGACTAACTATGACTGCACTGGATGTAATTTGATTAAAATTCTAGTAGTAAGGAACCTGGTCAGTTTGCATGAAGCTATTTTTTTTCTTTCTATAAAAAGATCTTCAGAAAATAGACTGTGAAACTCCCCATATGCTATAAGCCATTAGTAGTGCTTCAGTCTTGTTTCAGAGAAATCGCTGCTGGTGATCTTGATGTGCTGTTATTGAGGAAATTCTTGCAGAAATACCATCTTCACGGGCTGAAAAGTAGCTTTTGAACTCGGGTTTTACTCCTGTTCCTGTACAAAGCATTCATAGTGGAGGCTTCTACTAAATCTTGAAGTGCTAATTTATTTCTTTTTAAAGCTAAATCCCAGTTTTAATTTTTACTGCCTTAGAGAACATAAAATTTATGCAACACATTAGAACAACTACAGCAAGGAAGCTATGTTTGGAGTTGCAGAAAACGATGCAGACAAAAAGTGCTAAATAGTCCAGTATTTAAAATGTGTAACAGTCCATTATTCCTTTTACTCCTAAATATTTCGGAAGTCTCAAAAAACGTACGAGCAAAGATGTTACAATCCTAAAACCTACAAACTCATACAACAATATCTGGAACAAAAATCCATCAAAATCCTCATCTGTACTTGCATTTTCCCATTACATGCTAGCTAATGTTATGCTACCCTTACATGTTGATTTTGAAGTAGTACTCAAATCAAGCCAAGATGCTCTTCAAATAAGGTAAACAATCCCACTTACAAAAACAAATTTAGATACAACTGTCATCTTTAAGGAAGTTATCTTCCTTGAGATTGTATCTTTGAATTATCAGTTCAAAACCTAAATTATTAGTTCTAGCGGAAATAAGTTATTTTTGAAGTTTAGTCTCAAATGAACGGTCAAGCAATTTACAGCAACTAAATAATAAAAATACCTTACACTGCATTTTGCCACACACTCACACTTAACTACCTACCATGTGGCCACCAGATGATTTGCATCTTTTGAGGAAGTTGTTTAGTTACTTTGACTAGAATGAAGAAATACACTTACCAGTATTTTGGAAGTATAAGCACAATTAACAGAAATTCCTGTCACAAGGTAAGCCATAGTTTTCTCTGGAATAGCTTCTGGTTCTGGAATTTTTTTATAATGTTTTTCATTGATGTAGGCTTGGACCACTGTCATTCTGTTCATGGTCAATGTTCCTGTTTTATCTGAGCAAATAGCCGTTGCATTGCCCATTGTTTCACATGCATCCAGATGTCTCACCAAGTTATTATCTTTCATCATTTTCTAAGGAAATAAAAGCAGTCAACAGCTATGACCATTACTTCACATTTCAGAAATTCTCATTTAGGGTGTCCAGTCTTACACAGCTGATTCAGAAGACACTCGGCCTTTAAGTTATCTGACATCTTACAAAGGAAGACTTTGTAGGTGCCACATTCTGCAAGGATTCCTTTATTATGTAACAGTAAGCTCCATTTTGAACAAGGTTCATAAATACAATATTAATGTCCTGTATCTGCATGTCACACTGACTACTGATACTATTCAGACTGTTATGAGCAAATAGTTTATGATAATATTTAGAAGTAGAGGAGAGGTACAGACCGAGCTTTACCAGATACAACATTAAAAAAAGTCTTTCTGCTTACAAGAAAGATCAAGTAAGCTACGCTACAGACTTATCCAAACATCAGATGATACATATTTCAAAGATGCCAGTGTCAGATTTAAAATCAAACTGAGCCTAACGTTTCAGCCATGATAGTGAGGACTACACAAGTTTCATAGGTCAAACATCATTTTAAATTCTTTACTTAATGGGTTTGGGTAGTATATTAACCTCAAAGAGGCAGAGTAACTTCAAATGATAAAATACTAAGGCCACTACTAGTCAGTGCCTTGACTTACTAAGTTTTAGAACACAGCCTAAATAGCCATCGTCTTTACATTTTCAGATCAACAACCAGTCCCAGCATGCTGAAGTAGTAAGAAAATTAAGAGAACAAAGAGCATGAGTTAAAAAACATGCTGTGTAACAAACAGACAGCTGTATGTTCTACAATATTCAGTCCTCAAGGAGAATTAATCTGGAAACTTTTGTAGCAGTTGCCTAACACATCAGTCAGGCAGAAGTTCAGGTTTACAGAAGAGTTTGTAGCATTTGCTTATAATAAATAGTTGTGTTTGTAAATAACAATGTTATGAGCTAAACCCATCCATCTCTAGTTGGTGACAACAGGATGTCACTGCTCACTGTTCATGTAAGTGTGTATTCAGAGATTAAGAAAAATACTGCAGTGGATTTCTTATGCAGTTCAGGGAAACAAATAAAGCTTCTCCCCTGTCTGTTACACATATGTGATGCAACATATCTCAACTGATATTCTACAGCTGATGAATACACCCACCTACCTTTAAAATCTGCTCTACATCTATCCACTTACCTTAACAGAGTAAGCCAGAGATATAGTGACTGCAAGTGGAAGACCTTCTGGTACTGCCACCACCAAGACTGTAACTCCAATAATGAAGAACTTCACAAAATACTGAATATAAATTGGTGTACATTCAGCAAGCCAAGGTCTCTTCTGAACCCAGAAGGTATCAATTACAAAATACAACACAAGGATAATGACTGTGATTGCAGACATCAGCAAACCTTGTTAAAAAGAGAATAAAACAGTTTTCAGAAGTTATACCAAATATTTGGCAATACAGACTGTGGATAAGTGCAAATACTTCTGCTTTTATAGAAGTTAGTTTATAGTTAAGATTTTTAAACAGGCAAGTCAGAAAACATTGAGGTAGTTCTCAAAGGTGTTTCAACTTCCAGTGCAAGTATTTCTTCATGCATTTCACCTAGAAACTTCTGAAGTATTTTTTTTCTTCTCATTTAATTAAAAAGTGTAGATCTAATTATGAACAGGAGAGACCAATATGTAAAATCAATTTACAAAGCAGAAAAAGAACTGAAATAGTTCATCAGGCCTTCAACGATTGTACTGTTGACTTATTCAGTAGAGAAAG